TTCCCTTTCTAATTAAAAAATAAAATGCCCAAACAAAAAGTAACTTAAAAATACGTGCCCTCTTCCCCACCTGCCAACGCTTCCCAGAGATCCTTCACTAAGACAGAACATACACTTTTGGGTTTTACAGAAATGAAGTGTGGCATTCTTGAGAGAGAACAGACAGTGTGATAAAAACGTTCATGTTGGGCAATAATTGGCCTAAAATAAAGGTTAATCAGGAATCTCAAATGCTACATAGCACTGTTTGATACAATGCTCATCCCAGTCCATACTGGTTTTCTGGAAGGAGTGGTATTTTGAAATTAAAACTCTATAATTAATCTTGAAACAACATGCAAAATAGATTGAAATGAGACAAAAGAATGGATATGGGGGTACAGATTTTAAATCTGAAGTCATCAGGTATGTGGAGATAAATATGAGAACAAAGCTTGGATGAAAGACGAACTATTATCTACACAAAGATTAGAGGATATGCCATGGAGAAGGTAGATAAGTGGGAAAGAAGCAAAGGCCTCTCAGCCTCAGGGTTTACCCAGTGAGCAAATCCAAAAAGAGCCACAGAACAAGAGAGAAAAATTTAAAAAATGAAGAGATGCTATAAAGCACAGGAAGCTCAGCTCAGTACTCTGTGACGACCTAGATGGGTGAGATGGGGGGGCTGGGCTGGGAGGGGATACAGGTATACGTATAGCTGATTCACTTCACTGTACAGAGAAAACTAACACAACATTGTGAAGCAATTATATTCCAAAAAAATACTACTAATAAAATAAAATCTGTGAGGAAAATAAAATAAAATAAAATAAAAAATGAAGAGAGCCATGCAAAGTGGTTTCCAAAATGATGGAATAATAGTAACAAAATTAAATAAGAGCACTGCAGGGAAAACTGAGCAATGAACATTATATTTTTCTCTAAGATATTTAGGACAGTAGTAAAATCTTAACCTTAACCAGTGACCTAAACCAGAATTGAAGTTGGTTGAAGGAGATGGCTAGGGTGACAGTGGTTCAAAGAGTCTGACTATGAAAAAAGATAAGAAGATAACTCACTTACATCCTACCTCCTTCCAGAATATAGTATGGTATGGTTAGTAAAATATAAAGTTAGACCAAGGGAAGGAGGAAAAGCAAATATCCCAGCCACACGAACTCTAATAAAATTGCTATGGTTAAGTATTAAATTCACTCTGAGCTTACAGGTAAGCAGGGCAAAAAAGTAAACAGTGCGTATCACATTTTCACAGAAGTACAACGATCTCTCAAGAGAAATTTTTTCTGGAAACCAAAAAAAAAAGAAATTTCTCATTTGAGCCTAAAATTCAAAGGCCAATGTCCTTGTAAGGTTTTACAAAAAATGAAGCAATTTTTTAAAATGAGAAATTATAGAGTATTTAACAAATGCCAAATATTGTCCCAATAAGCCTTTAACAAAATGTTAACTCATTTAATTTTCACATGGCTATTTCTTTTAATAATCCTCTATAGAAGCTGGCAGAAACCTGAGTGCTGGCATTCCAGGTGGCTTGATGATTCAGGGATGACCTATGCTTTGGAAGCTGAGCATAAGAAAGGATAACAGGATCAGCTGGAACCTTACCTCCCAGAATAAAAGAAATGTTTACCACATAAAGTCAAAATGGATGAAGTCAAGGGAAGAAAGCTACATTTAAAAACAAGATCATTCAGGAAATAAACCTTTAACCAGATTAAAAATTTTTTTCACAATCTTGAGGCCAGTGCTCTTAATTTTATAATGTAATTTGGAGATAGCTGGGGTTCACTCCTGAAATCCTTGATTGAAAGCTCTCAGGTTTATCATATACCTAGATTGCTCCTAAACCCATCTAGCTATTGCTCCAAACTTTGTTGGCAAAAACAGCCTCCTCTGAACTAAGGTAAATAAGGTTTTGTTATTGGCCATTCAAACTCCCAGGGCATCTGAGCAAATATTCGTTTTTTTAAATTTTTTTAAGTTTATTTTATATATTTAATATAATTATATTTAATACTTTTATTAATTTTAATATATTGAGGGTTTTTTGTTTTTTGGTTTTTTTAAACATCTTTTTTGGAGTATAATTGCTTTACAATGGTGTTAGTTTCTGCTTTATAACAAAGTGAATCAGCTATACATATATCCCCATATCTCCTCCCTCTTGTGTCTCCCTCCCACCCTCCCTATCCCACCCCTCTAGGTGGTCACAGAGCACAGAGCTGATCTCCCTGTGCTATGCAGCTGCTTCCCACTAGCTAGCTATTTTACATTTGGTAGCGTATATATGTCCATGCCACTCTCTCACTTTGTCCCAGCTTACCCTTCCCCCTCCCAGTGTCCTCAGGTCCATTCTCTATGTTTGCATCTTTATTCCTGTCCTGGCCCTAGGTTCTTCAGAACGTTTTTTTTTTTTTTTTTAGATTCAATATATATGTGTTAGCTTACGGTATTTGTTTTTCTCTTTCTGACTTACTTCACTCTGCATGACAGACTCTAGGTCCATCCACCTCACTACAAATAACTCAATTTCGTTTCTTTTTATGGCTGAGTAATATTCCATTCTATATATGTGCCACATCTTCTTTATCCATTCATCTGTCTATGGAGACTTACGTTGCTTCCATGTCCTAGCTATTGTAAATAGAGCTGCAATGAACATTGTGATACATGACTCTTTTTGAATTATAGTTTTCTCAGGGTATATGACCAGTAGTGGGATTGAGCAAATATTTTTTTTTTTTGCGGTACGCGGGCCTCTCACTGTTGTGGCCTCTCCCGTTGTGGAGCACAGGCTCCGGACGTGCAGGCTCAGCGGCCATGGCTCACGGGCCCAGCCGCTCCGCGGCATGTGGGATCTTCCTGGACCGGGGCACGAACCCACGTCCCCTGCATCGGCAGGTGGACTCTCAACCGCTGCGCCACCGGGGAAGCCCGAGCAAATATTCTTGAAGAATTCCCTCACTAAACAGGTTTTATTGGGGGGGGCTGGGAGGGACAGGATGGGACATTTTTTATGTAGAGTTGTCAATAAGTATTAGACAAAATAGTGTTTCAAAGTTATTGCTAAGAAATGATTTCTTATTTTGACGGCAATGGAGCTAGAAGCTTCTGGGAAACATGTAAACCACAAAAGCAGCTCAACTTTCTATCTGACAGAAGGGGAAAAAAGAGGGATACAAGAGCCACTGAAGAGACAGAATGCAAGGCATCTTTTCAGTAGAAAGCTGTTCCCATCATATAACCTTTAAGGACAACTTCTAAATGCTAGTAACCTCATTTTTCAATTCTGGGTGCCTGTACTTAAACTTGTTACATGCCTGGTAATTCAGATGATGTTAAGTAAGGTAAGTGAGTACCAAATGAAATTAAGCATACACATTCGAAGAACCTAGGGGCAAGATGGGAATAAAGACACAGACCTACTAGAGAATGGACTTGAGGATATGGGGAGGGGGAAGGGTAAGCTGTGACAAAGTGAGAGAGTGGCATGGACATATATACACTACCAAACGTAAAATAGCTAGCTAGTGGGAAGCAGCCACATAGCACAGGGAGATCAGCTTAGTACAGGGAGATCAGATCGGTGCTTTGTGACCACCTAGAGGGGAGGGATAGGGAGGGTGGGAGGGAGGGAGACTCAAGCAAGAGATATGGGAACATGTATATGTATAACTGATTCACTTTGTTATAAAGCAGAAACTAACACACCATTGTAAAGCAATTATACTCCAATAAAGATGTTTTAAAAAAAAAGCATACACGGGCTTTCCTGGTGGCGCAGTGGTTGAGAGTCCACCTGCCGATGCAGGGGACACGGGTTCGTGCCCCGGTCTGGGAAGATCCCACATGCCGCGGAGCGGCTGGGCCCGTGAGCCATGGCTGCTGAGCCTGCGCATCCGGAGTCTGTGCTCCGCAGCGGGAGAGGCCACAACAGTGAGAGGCCCGCGTACCGCAAAAAAAAAAAAAAAAAAAAAAAAAAAAAAAAGCATACACATTCTAGTCTCTCAAGAACATTAAAGAGGTAGAAATTTGACAAAAGTCTAGCTTTTTAGAATGTGAACACATCTGAGTCATGCAACTGAAGATGTTAAATGACCTGCCCACAGTCATAAGGCTACTTTGTGGCACAAAACCATTATCACAGGATATCACAAATTTTGCTCATCACCAAGTGATTTTTTTTTTTTAAATAACATTTTTCAGTCTGGGAAAACAACTTTAGCTTGGAACGTTTTAGGAAGGTGCCAATTTCAATTACAGGAAACATTAAGCCAGGTCTGAGACTGAAAGTATAAGAATCACACTTTCAGTTTGACTTAAGATACTATGGGGCTGGAAAAAGCAATGTAAGTAGAAGGGAAGCAAAACAGGTCACATAACGTCAGTGCAAAGTCAGAAAAATAGCAGGATATAAAGAAAGCAGGCAGGTAAATTTTTACCTACAGTGAGAAAAAGTTTGCGTCCATTTATATTAACTCAAGACAAAATATCCAGGAAATTGCCTCTCATACTGCCTAGGAAAAACCAATTTTGTTTTAAAACTCAACTGCTGTGCGGAATAGATGAGATAACACCCTATCACAATTTATTTAATCCACAAACGCTACTTAACTCGGGTTTTTTCTGAGTTAGTGTTTTACCCGTCACATTTCATCTTGGCTATTTTGAGTTGTATTTTCAAAAATTCGCCCATCTTGTGGAAGATGTCAGACAGGCCAAAGCTGGTCCTCAGTGCCAACAGGTGGTCTGTACTGCGTGCCCTGTCTTCTCGGCCACGTGACCCTTTTCCTCCTAATCTCCTTTCGGAAACGTTATTTCCGGTGCCCCAGATGGCTCTACACACGCCTGAAGAAGCCACTCCAGAAATATTCAGAATACTCTGCTACTTTAGGCTTCCAAAGAGACGGTGGCAGAGATCGAAGTAGGGCAGGCAGAGAGGAAACTCGAGCCTAGAAAAGCAGCGAGTCAGGAAGGCACACGCTTTGCCCATCGCCCGACTCCTAAATGTCACTCAGTGATGTTCGTGGGGCACCACCCACCAAGAGCTGGGCGGGCGGCCAGGCACTGCAGCCCGGAGCCGGGGCGCTGAGCACGCGGCGTGGGCCGGGCTGCCACAGCTCCAGCGCGGTGGGGGGTAAGGGGGTGGCAGGCTGGCCCCTCCGGCCCCTTGGCTGCTCCACCCGGCGGCGGGGAAGGGAAGTGAGGGCCGAGCGAGGGGCTCAGGCGGGGAAGGCGCGGGCGGGGCCGGGCCTAATCACATGGCGCAGACTGCGCAGGCCGCCCGGCATCTCTTTCTTTCCCCTTCTCGAACCTCCGCTCCCATCCCTCCCCACCGCAGGCCCCTCCCGGGCCCGGGCCCCACGCGGGACAAGGCCTCCTGCGCCTCGCGGAGACACTCACTTTTCGCCTGAAGCCACCAGCTCCTTGCCCTCGCTGTTGCCGAACCCGTCTGTCTCCCCCGAGCCGTCCTTGGGGCCGGACGCCGGCGGGGCCGCGGGCGGCGACGCCCCGGGCTGCGGCTGCTGCGGAGGCGGCGGCGGCTGCTGCTGCTGCTGCTGCTTCGGCTGCTGCGTG